ACTGATATTGGTAAGTACATGAACTGACCTTTAGTCAATCCCTCTTATGGGCAATGGTCAAACAGCATTACATACATGTGTTAATAATAATATTCTTCATTTATAGATATATGTGATCCATTATGGTATGAGAATACCAGTACACCATTACATGAAGCAGCTTGGAGAGGATTAAAAGATGAAGTACAATGGCTTCTTGACAAGTTTGGCTCCAGCACATATCATCATGGTCTTCATGGTTGGACTCCATTACACTCTGCATCATATGGTAGACACATTGAGATCCTTCAACTACTCATCCATCAATGTGGTATTGATCCTAATGAAGGTGATGATAATAGTGTATCTAGTATACATATGGCATCTTATAAAGGCCACTTATCTATAGTACAATATCTAGTAGACACGTGTGACGTTCCTCCTGATCAACCAGACAATAGCAATAACACTGCATTACTGTACTCAGCAATGGGGGGCCATTCTGACCTAGTGGAATTCTATATTGAGAGAAATTGTAATACTTCTCAGATTAATTATTATAGTGAGTCTTTATCATTGTTAGCTTGTCAAAGTGGAGAGTTAGCATTAGTCCACAAGCTTGAATCATTAAACCTCTTCTCACCAGATGACACCACAAAGTCAGGGGCTGGTATACTACATTATACTTGTTGTTCTATGAATAATAAAAGTGTTGAACTTTTTAAGTATCTTTTAAATCGATATCAATTATTCATTGATGTAAAGGATCGATATGGTAGGACTCCACTTCAATTTGCTTCATGGTTTGCTTCATCATCAGTTGTTGAGTATATTGTTAGTATTCAAGGTAATGAAGCATTATTAGTTAATGATAATAATGGTAGGTCATGTTTACATTATGCATGTTATGCGGGTATACATGTTCCAGCTGGTATTGTGTATAGTAAGCTTATGGCACCAAGTGATACACCAGATATTGAGATTATTAATAATATTAGAATAAAAACAACTATTGATTTTATTAAACGAAATGAAAGAGGTAAAATTTTTTCTTCACTTCTCAAGAAAGCTAGTACTTGCCCTAACTTTGACATCAATGCCACTACAAATGATGGTCAGTCATTACTTCATTGGGCATCACACAATGGCAGTACATTACTAGTGAAAGCATTAGAAGAATATAATATCAATTGTACATTAACTAATGATGGTAGGTCTCCAGTACATTATGCTGCCTGGTCAGGTTCTACTAGTGTATTAAGTTATATCATATCTCAGTATAATCTCAATGCTAATGACACTGATACTTATGGTTATACACCATTAGTCTACTCCTGCCAGTCAGGTAGTATTAATTCTGTTAAATATCTTATTAATAATCATAACAGTGATCCTAATATCACTGATAAGTATGGTATGACATGTCTTCATTGTTCTTGTCGTAATGGTCATATTGATATCACTCAATATCTCATTGAGGTACAGCATTGTGATATTAATAAAACAGATATTGAAGGACGCACATTAGTACATCATGCTGCATGGAGTGGTAACTTTGATTTAGTTGAGTATCTTATTACTGAACAAGGTTTGTCTCCTACTGCAGTTACTAAGTATGGCCTCACTGCTTTACATTATGCCTCAGGGTCTCTTAACTTATCTCTTGTTAAAGAATTAATAACTACCTATCAGTTAGATCCTCATAAAACTGACAGTAATGGTAAGCTACCAATTCATTATGCTGCAGAATCTGGTGATATTTTACTACTGGAATTATACATGAAGAATTACAAGTGTAGTCTGAGCCTAACAGATAACAAAGGTTGGAATGTTATTCATTTTTCATTTTCAAAAGGCCACACTCACTTTATTAAGCATCTAGTA